TGTTGCCAGTAGAAAAGTGCAGACGTAGAAGCTGAGTGCTTCTGAAAAATTGTGTAACTTTGAGATATTTCAGAAAAGAGAACTTAGCTCAGACCGAGAACAGCGCCAAGGTCAGCAGTCAAAACTAGGGTGACCAGACGGTCCCTGTTTTCAATCACCTGTCTCGGGAAATGTCCCTCATTTTACAGCTTTTATGAAGTAGGGGGAAAATGTTGCATATAAACTGTTATTATGGTAGAAAGGGCCCGCGAGCATGCTACGCACAGAAACAGCTGTTAACGTATAGATGAGGAGCAGACTGCCCCAGTTTGAAAACAGACGAGGGAGTTCGTTATCACAGCCGGCTGGACGCAGCTGCCCTGTGTTACCATGAAATCCCACATCATCCGCTCCGACTTCTTATGAGCTCCAGGAGAGCATGCGCTATGTTATTATTAAATTTATAGGAGCAAAACATGCAGAAACTAACGTTTAATTTAATATGACATATTTAAAAAAATCCTGATCAGCATTTCTGCCCAAATATTTTCTTTTTGTTGTGGGTTTTTTACAATCTTTACATTTACTTCCTATAAAAACTAATAACAGCTTATTTAAAACAAAAAGCACAGCTGTATCTATGTAAACATGAATAGAAAATAGGTTTAAGATTGTTAAATAAATATATTCCTATCAGGTTTCACTATAACTTTATTAAAGGATAGATTATTTTTATGCCCTGAGAGCTTATTTTTCAATTATCTATACATTTAATGACAAAACATGTATTTTTAAAGCAGCTGCTCATGAGAATGATCCAGATTTATAGATGTGTTTTAATGGTTGTAACTTAATCTGAATCTAAAAATCTAACTTAACTTTTTTAATAGTGACACAGATTATAATCCAGCTGACCAGGATACAGTAGAAACAACTGGAGGCCATTTCATTTTAAAAGTCATTAAATAATAATGAATTAAATAATTATTAAATGGTTTTTTTAAATTAAGGCCTTAATTGGCCATTAATTCATCAAATGTGATTATAGTGACGTTTAAAATGCTTTATTTAAAAAAAAAAAAATGTTTTTAAAAACAACTTCGTTGTTTATATTATATCAGATAGAACTGGTTTCCGGAACTGCGTGAAACTGCTTCCAGTTTCTCATAAAGCCGTATTTTTGGAAAATAAGCTTGAGTAAAAGATAGAGAACAGAAAAATACAAACTTCAACAAAAGTGGCTGCAAAACCAGGAATTCGGCACGTGGCTGCTGCCTGTCGATGTTAAAGATGACGATGGATTTCGCCATGTTTTATTTATATATATATAGGGATGCACGATATTGGGATTTTGGCCGATATCCGATATGCCGATATTTTAAAACTCATGTAGCCGATAACCGATATCGATACCGATGTT